AAACTTGTGGAGTTTATTTTGGCGTGAACTTTTTCGATCACCGATCTCATGAGTTATACGATAGTTCCCGAGTTGAGTTAGTCCTCTTCGACCGATGAACCTAGATTGGAAAGAGCAACCTCACTGTTCTGTTCTTGAGGTACCTGTTGCAAGGTCTATTCCTTAAATCGATGCAAAGTCATCTGTAATTTATCCAAGTACCTTTGCATTCAGTCTTCTCGGACTTCAAAAGTCCTGTTAACTTGGTTTACTACGCGGAGGGAATCACACTTGGCCTCTATGACCTCCGCTCCCAAACTTTTAGCTAGTTCTATACCTACAATCACGGCCTCATATTCGACCTCATTGTTAGTCAATTCTGTAATTCTGATAGACTGTCTAACTGTATTACCCGTGGATGATTTTAGCATGATGCCTAGTTCGGACCCATTAACGTTCGAAGCACTGTCCATAAAGAGGGTCCAGACTCCCGAAAATGTACCCGATTTTATCAGCAGTTCCTTTTTAACCTCAGGTACAAGGGCCGACGCGAAGTCATCCATGAAGTCTACCAAGATTTGAGACTTGATGGCAGTTCGGGATCAATACACAATATCGTACACACTAATTTCCACCGCCCATTTGGCCAATCGACCCGAAAGCTCGGGTTTGCGCAAAATATTTCGAAGTGGATAAGTTGTCACAACACATGTTGGATGACATTGAAAATATGATTCTAAGTGCGGATACCTAGTTTCGGACTCCTCTAAGGTCCGACTAACATAATAGACAGGGAATTGCGTACCTTGTTCTCCTCGGACCAGGACTCCACTTACCACTGTAGACATATAATTTTTGACCCTCTCCAAGATTTTACACATTTTAGCGAAAATATTTAATTTAGGTTTATTATCGCTATTCTAAATAGTTTTGACTCTTTTACTTTATTTTTATCACAAAAAATAAAAATTACAAAAAAAAATATTTTTCATCTTTAGGTTAAAGTCAATTAGTATATTTATATTTATAGTGTTATAACATTTGAAAATACAAAAAATAGTTTCACTTTTAGTATTTAGTTTTATATTAGTTTATTTTAATTTAGAGTGATTTTTACATTTTATAGATACGTTGTACTATTTGGTCTTCCTAGCCTAGATTCAAACCCAAAAAACATGGTCCAACCCAATTCCCTAAATACCCAATTACCCTTAGCCCATAAATCCAAGCCCAATACCCATAAAACCCTAACACTTTAAAAGGACCCTTCTTTTTCTTCACAACCGAGACCTAAACCTAGCTAAGACAACAAAAAAAATTCCTACAACTCTAGGCTAAAGCGGCAGACTTTGAGATTGGTTGAACGAAAAAGAGAAAAAAAAGGCAAACCAAAGTTCCTAGTAGCTGAAGCCATCACTCTCATTTGGAGGTCTTGAACTTCACACACACTCAAAAAGTAAAAAAGCTACACACAAAAACATATACAGAGGAGACACAACCAAAAATGGAGAAAAGAAAGCTCCACTAGACAACATATAAAACGCACATGACGACTCCATTTGGACGGCGACATAGATTCCATCGACGGAGGAATCGCTGGCGCTACTTCTCACCGGAGGTCTTGACGAAACTATGAGGCTATGGGATCCGAAAAACTTCACTTGTATTCAACCTTTCACCGGTCACTACCTCGGCTTTGTATCAGTTGCAGCTCATCCTACTCGGAGAATTGCGACATCAGTTTCTATAGATAGCTTTATTAGAGTGCTTGAGGTTGATACTAATAACACCATTGCTACTCTCGAAGCTCCTCCTTCTGAAGTTTGGCTATTGCAATTTAGTCCCAATATGAGGACCATACGTTGGCAAATGCTGTCCGATTTACTCTAAATCAAGAATTTTAAAGCGTACAAATGTCGAGGGATGGTCTGCTTTGTCAGATATTCAGAGGTTTTGGTTTATCTAAGGTCGAGTTTGGGTGTCGAGTGTTCCGGAGTCGATTCGAGGTTCCGTTTTGAAATTTCGGTGTTTCAGTCCAAGGATTGTTGCCTTGTTTAGCCCGATTGATTTGCAATTTTTAGCTTTGTTCATCAATAAAAGGTCAATTTCTCAATTTTCATTCTCGTTTCATTTTGTTATGATAGCTTGGTGTGCGTGTTGGTTGATTTGTGATTCTACGTTGTTTGACTAGCATGTCTTAGTTTTAATTTAAATTGTTTTAATTAGTTTTTATTTCGATTGTGATGTACGTAGTCTTGGTTCTTGAATAAATGCTTTTAGTTGGGTAGATGGAAAATTTGGAGTTGTTTCTTTCTTGGCAAGGAATAAGAATGGTCCATAAGGTGGGTTTTGAACCATAAGGAATCTGGCCAAGTAATGGATCATGTTAGCAAGCCTATTTGCTCCCCAATAATATCCCGTCCATAAATTTGGCATCCCAACAATCTCAAAGATAAGGAAAATAATTTAAATGCGCTAGTTATTTTAGGCGCATTATAATAAAATTATCATAGTTACGGGTACGGTTCCCATGACGTAGTTGTGATACATAATTTCCAAATTTAGGTTACATTTATGTGACCCGGCCACAATAACTAATAATGTTAATCATTTAAACATGTTGTAAATCGTGGGTACGGTTCTTGTGACACGATTCACAATGTGTACCAAACAAACAGGTGTACGCCAAGAGTAACTTGTTCCAGAATAATTTCATAAATAATTAAAAGCGGTCAAAAGCTAAAAAAATCACAATATGTACAAAATATGTAATTAATCAGATAATTAGGCCAATTAATAATAATTGAGCGACCGTGCTAAAACCACATAACCTGGGAATGCCTAACACCTTCTCCCGGGTTAACAGAATTTCTTACCCGGATTTCTGTGTTCGCAGACCATAAATAGAGTCAACTTCCTCGATTCGGGATTTTAAACTGGTGACTTGGGACACCATAAATTATCTCAAGTGGCGACTCTGAATTTGAATAAATAATCCCGTTTCGATTATTATCACTTTAATTGGAAAACCCCTCTTATATCCCCTTCCGGGGTATAAAAAGGAGGTGTGACAGCTCTGACGACTCTGTTGGGGACAAGAACCCAGAACTTCTGGTTCAGGGTACAGAATTCGAGCTTAGAATAACTATTATAGTTGGCTTTTGTTCATTATCTGATTTTCTACGTGTTTGGGCATAATGTGTTAAATGCCACTTTTTACAGCTTTGATATTGTTTGAATTGTGTATAAACTGCTGCGAAACCCCTCTCTTCTAATCTCCTAGGAAGTGCACGCTGGCATAACTTCTTTTCTGTTAGTGTCATACCCTAATTTAGAACGAGGATCGGATTAGTTACAAAGCCAGATATCCTTTTGGTTATCGGTACGTTGCCCCCCTCCCCCTCCCC